CATCTACCAAAAGATGATGAAGTGCCATCGCTGCTGGACCGCAAGTTATTCGGAAATATACGCGCACAGATGTTACAAGAATCCTGATTGAATTCTGGCATCCATAACTCCTTGATGGACGTTGACCCAGACGGACTTCATTATTTTTCCCCCAGATAGATCCAACGACACCAAAAGTCATGGGGGAGGTGTAGTTACTGTAATTAATGACAAGCAATCCTCAGACAAGAAGGTTCTCCGGAGGTATGCTAAAGATGACATCCAGGGCATCGTGCTGTTATGTCGGACTAAACATTATCCTTCGTTCAAAGCGGTCGTTTTTTGGGAACTTATATCTGCCACCAATTTACCCAAGCTCATCGGTTCAAGCGTTTTTAAATGACCTAGAGGAGGTGTCAACCTCTTTGCACAACGAAACGCCGGTAGTCATTTGCGGCGATTTTAACCATGAGGACGTCTCTCGACTGCACACTTTTCGTCTTGCAAACGTAGTCAATTTCAGCACACGTAATGAAGCGAGTCTTGACCTTGCCTTCACAAGTGCTACAACGTAGCTTTCGGTCAGATTTCCTCGCCGACCGGAAGTTCCGACCACGCCGTCATTGGTTGACTTCCACGTACGTACTCAAAACCTGAAAATCACGTGCCGACCTCTCGGATTCACTGTATGTACATGCATGACACCTGTACTGTGAACATCAACAACATGCACGCCACGTTTGCATCCATCGATTGGCTTTCATAATCTTGGTCGTGGTGTTCGATGACGACGACATCACCAAGACTGTATTCATGCTGTCATCCTCTCTTAGCCTCGTCTTTCACTGGTGCTGCCCAAATAACATCCTTGTCACCAGGAAACAGCTGGTGAATTAGTATCTCATTCTTTTACGCTGAAAACGGAACGATCGATCCGCAAGGAGGATTATTCTCAATGCAAATTTCGCGTGTTGTCAACAGCTCTTGAGTTGATTACACTCTAACGACGTGTGGGCCGGTATAAGAATATTAACGGCATATGGTAGCAGAACGCCTACTACAAGCTTTGACCCTGAAGTTCCCCATACCTCCCATTTCGTGGGAAACGAAGAGGCAGACCACCAAAGTTCATTTAAATTCTGTTTTTCCGTCAGACATGAATGTGGCTTCAGTTCTTGCTTTTATAACTGGCTACATCGATGCTTTTCCTGACTAAAATCTCATTTCGCTACGGGTCCCGATGGCTTAAGAGCAATCGTTTTAAAGTGTTGTTCGAAAGAGCTATGTTCCATCTTTGCTATTGCTTTTAATTGCAGCTCAGG